ATATTGTGAATAAAAATTTGGGGATTCCTGATGCAATTTTCTCCTGTGAAGTTTCAGTTTCTCCTGTTCATCATAGACTGTAATGACTCTTTTTACTTTAGCAAAATAGGAACTGAGCAGACTCAAGGGTGAGATGCAGCCCCAGTAATTTTCCGTCTATCTCCGGTAGTTGCATAAATCCTTGGGCTGTCAATGTGATCTGTTATATAGTCCATGCATGTGTATATCATTATATTATATATTTAATTATTGTAACTTTGGTGTAACAGTATTTCATACAGTTAATATATTACCATTTTCATGCTTTAGATTGATTAATTCATAACAGTCTATTTGTTTCACTCTCATTAAGTCAGTCTTTTGGATTAAGATCAATTTTGTTCATCCTAACATTGTCAAGAATTTTGCATCCTTTGAAATGTATTACTTGTCTTTTAGTAATTTAATTCCTTTAAGGTTTTGTCTGTAATTCAAATGTAATTTCTTGTTCCTATTTGTTTTTGTTCTACTTTCAGTTCCTTCTTTTTTACTCATTTCTATAGTTGTGCTAGTCTTTTCAGAGAGTCAATCTCCTCTAGGTAATTAAAATCGCTTTTTAAATGAAAAGCTTTTACGAAGGCTTTACATTTTAGAAAATATGGAGAAAGGATAATTCTTAGGAGGAATAAGAATTGATCGCTTTAGTTTAATATTTTGGAGTCCAGTATCATTTTACACTGTAAATTTTATTCCAATCAGCTCAATGAAGTCTATTACTTCTACCTTTTGTTATTTTTTTATTTATTTTTATTAGATAACCAATGGATGTTAATTTGTGATGCCTGCGTTAAATATATACATACTTGTAACTCTGTTGAAGAGAAGTCAGTCCTATTTATGCTCAAGGGATGGTTTATGCTCAATTTGTAGTTCTATCAAAAATAAATAATCAAATCAGAGCCTCCTTGCCAAAATCAGTGTTTACCAAATATGATAAAAATTAAAAGAGAGTGTATTACTTGAGCATACATTTTCTTGATTCTGTAATCAATTACTTGTGGTGATGATTTTCTTCATTATTTTAGATATCAAGCATCCCGTTCCTCATTTGCATCATTTATTTAAACATTTCACCTCATTTGCTTTAAACTTTGAAAAATCAATTCTCTGTGAGTTACTCTGAATATCTATCACCCTAGAACTGTTGTTTATATGTGTGTGTGTGTGTGTATACATTTATATATACATATGTGTACATATATATAAAAAACTGGTTTTGGAAACAAATAATTGAGAATATTACTTATAACTATGATATGATTAAAAAGCATTTTCAAATTGCTATTTGCCAAAATAAGTAGAATGAGTTGATATAACTAGAATAATAATCATTCTTGAAGTAAAAGTTCAAAGATTACTATTTTACGGAGAGGTAGAAAAAAATACTCTTAAATTTGAGAAGGTGAAAGCTAATTCTTTCCCCTTTTAGCATAATTTTCTATATAGTTATTTTCTTACTCTTTTTTTTAAATATTTATTTATTCATGCATACGAGAACTGGGGTACAGGCCAGAGGTGGGGACAAGGGGGAGGTGAGAGGATTCACCAGAGACAGAGTGGGAACAGAATAATCAGACTGACCAAAGTATACTGCTGAGGGTAGCAGTGGGTGAGACAGCAGAGGTCTGCTGTGCTATGTGGGCACCTCCCAACTGCCCAGGGATAAAACTCATGCTGCAGAGCCTGAAGACAGCCCCACAGCCTGCGCTCAACCCCTTGGTGCCACCAGGGAGGCCCTATTTACTTACTCTTTTATTACAAATTGAATTCTCTAGCTACATTTTCAAATGTTCATATAAATTTCCATTAAAACTCAAGCAGAAATGTTAGAATTTTTTAAACCCTAGATGGTTTGCTTAATGATCTTAAAATTATTAAATTCTATTCAGGGGTGTATCATACTGCATAAGATAAACATAATAAGGCTGGTAAAATAGATAAAGTGGTTTTTTGATAGTTTTTATGAACACTATAAGGAAAATGGGTAAATCAGGCTATTTTTTGCCTTCGACACAATAAACAGCTCATACTTTGAAATGCCGTGTTTTCCACCATTCAGACTTCTAGCAAACAATAGATGAGCCTTGCATTTGCAGGTATGTATTGGTTTGGTGCTATGAGCACGTAACAGGGGGCTGGGCAGGATGCAGAGTTGCTGTTCTGCCTCTCTCAGCATTGCAGTCTTTCACCTGCCTGTGTGTATGGTTCCCTGTCTCTGCATTAAAGGACTGCAAAATCAACTTAGGGCTCTAAATTCTCGTACCGTCTGTAAGAACTGACAATGAAGCGACCGTGCCTGGGATGGTTGCACACCAAGTGATGTAGACGGCAGGACAGTTCGACACAGACAGATATGGAGTCACTGAAAGCATCGGAGACATTGAGGGGTGGCCGTCTTGAGCATGTTGTACTCGGTGGGCAGCCTCCTCACCCAGTGGCACCTCCCCAGGAATGGCCAGAGGTGGATGGATCCCCGTGGCAGTTGGAATGGGTCCTGTGCAAAATAGAAGAGACCTCAGGCAGACACAGTGCTCACGAGGCGGCAGGAACTGTGGCATGGGTGTTTCTCACAGCTCTATGAAGGTGTATGCAGAGAAAAGAATCCAAGGTCTGGAAACTGCTGAATGAAACACAGGCCCGCAAAACATTTGAGACTTCTGGAGAAAGAGATCCAGGGAGAGTGGCCCATCACTCCAGAGACATCAGACTCCTCCTTCAGAGAAGAGGAGGAGGAGGCTGGCCCCTTGATCCAGGTTTGTCCAGTGATGGTGGAGAAACCTCCTACTCCAGAGACGCCTGACTCCTCTTCCAGAGAGTTGCAGAAGGCTGGCCCCAAGCTCCAGGCTTGCCTGGTGGTCACAAAGAATGTGAAGCACCAGCAGCCCATTGCACTAGAAGGTCACCAGAGACAGCGGAGTTCACCATGTATGGCCCATACACCCAAGCAAAACTGGTGGACTTGGGTAGAGTTTTGTCAGAAAACAGGAGAATTCTTGGCAGCTTGGCTGCTGTTTTTGTGGGACATGGGGGTGAACGGAATGATTTGTACAACACAAGGGATGGAGAAAATGGCTTCAGTGACCCTGCACCTATCTTGAGATGGAGGCTGCTGAACAGCTGGCCGTCTGGCCGGGGTGATCACACCCTGTCAGAATGATGGATGACTGCTATGTGAATGGTATGGGCTGATGTGGGAGATGTGCCAGAAATCATGCGTAAATGGCAAACATACACTGAGCTTCTGGGTACTTTGTGAACTGGCAATGCAGCAGGTTAGGTTGAATGTAAACACTCATGGTGCTGACAATGAGCATTTTATTGTGAGTGTTTTACTGTGAGCATTTTACTGTGAGCGTCTAACTGCAGGTATGAGGGATCTGGTATTGCAGAATGCCCCTCCATCATCATTTGGGTGTCCTATGGCAATTCTAGCTCCCAATGTGAGACACCAAATAAACAACATCATCACTATGGCAGCCATCTTGGGTGAACCTCAGAGCTGGCTCTCTCGAAGAGAGTACAGGTAGCTGTTAAGCAACTAAAAAGGACACCGAAAAGGTAAGTAAGTCTCTTAAGAACAATAGCCTCTTAAAGTCACCTGTACCCAAATGTGGGTGAATCTACAGAGAGCAGGTGTAGACTGTGCCAAAATAGATCCACAGCCTGATGCATATCTTTTAGAGTTATGGAGACAATTGAAAGAGGACCAGTAGTTCACTCCTGGACTGCTGTGAATGGAAAAGTGGGGGACTCCTGGTCCCAGACACATACCCTGCACCTGGAGGACCATTTGCTGCTAACGTCAGGCCAGGGGGAGGCCCTGTTTGCTTTTGAATAGGATGAGGGCTGAGTAACCCTCTATAGGACATGGGAGGGGATCAGAGGCCATCTGTGGAGAAACCTACTACTCCAGAGACGCCTGACTCCTCTTCCAGAGAGTTGCAGAAGGCTGCAACCAACATGCAAAGGGTTTTGGCCTTATAGCAGATACAAGGGCAGAGTGGACTCTGTTTTACAGAAACCCAAAGAAGTTTCAGGGGTCTGCTTGTTACACTGACAGCTATGGATGCCAGAGTGTCAAAGAGACCGCAGTGAGGGTACCCCTGGGGATTGGGCAATTAACCCTAAAGACGTGTGAAGTGTATGTGTCACCAATCCCAGAGTGCACCTTGGGGGTGGATGCACTATGTGGTTTGTGGCTGGGGACCACAGCCTGAGAGTTTCACCTTAGGGTACGTGTGGGAAAGGCAGCATTGTGTGGACGCTGAGCATTCTCCCCTACAACTGCCAGTCTCTAGGTGAGTGACCAATGCTAAACAGTATCAGTTTCCAGGTGGCCAGAAAAATATTACAGGCACAATAGCAGAGCTGGAGAAAGTGGGCATTGTGTGCGCTGCTTGCTGGGCTGTGTGCAGGGGTCTGACACTGTGGATCTCTAAGTGGAACTTAAATGACTAGACAGTCATGCATCAGCCACCATGGGGCTAGGCCCTGTGGAAAGATCTATGGGACGTGGGGCATCAGAAACAGGTAACTTTTCATCATGTCACAGGACATGCCCCGTTGGCCTTACCAGGTAACAATGAAGCAGACACCCTAGCCCGGGTTAGATGGCTTGAAATAGCCATGGCTATTGTCACATTGGCTACACAGAAGCTTGCTCCATGCAGGGCAAAAGACAATATGGGCCACTGTGCATGCCTGGGGTCTCCCTGTAACTTTAGAGGAGATTCAGACAGGCCAGGTGTGCGGGGGCAGGAGTCCCTGACCCGCTGGCACATGACATTATGGGCCCTATGTCGCTCTGAAGGACAGCAGTCTGCAGCCACAGGTGTGGACACCACTACTGATTTATTAGCAGCTTATCCCACTCCACACATGGACCAAAGTGCTGACGCACCTGTGTGTTTCATACAGACGTCCGCTGGGAGTGGAGAGTGACCAAGGGATTCATTTTGCAGGTGCCTAGGGGCAGCAGTGGACCAAGGACATGGGTGTTGAGTGGAAATTACACACAACCTACAATCCCAAGGCTATGGGATCACAGAGTGCTACAATGGCCTGCTGACACAAGGACTCAAGAGCTAGAACCCCCACCTCAGCGTTGGCCGGTGGAGCTGACTCCTATGGAAAGTGGTGCAGACACCTGGAACATTTAATAAACCTTAAATCACATGGCAGATCTTTTTCTGAATACCAATTATAAAGGGTTTTATGCATCTTGAATAAGGGAGTTTGAAAATAAGCTCGATCCTTAATTTCAAACATTCATGCTATGAATTGTTATTTATAATTGCATGTGTATAATTTACTTGATCCTTTGCTCATGGTACACACATCAATTTTATGCCTTTCTATTTTTGTTGAATGTTTTATTGATATGCATTATTTATATTTATAATCTTAATCTTCAAATGTTTTAATTTTAATGGTGACTTGCAAATGTAGTCAGCAAGCAATGGTAAAAGTATGTGTATGTGCATATAATATATATATATATATTTCTAATATATTTAGCTTTGCTCTTGGTTTCATCTTATTTACCTATAGACTAAACAAATCAATTTTATATTTAACCTTGTATAAATCTATTCTAATTTTACTGACATGATCAGGTCAAACGACCTCACCTAATACTTCTGTAGTTACTCTTACTCTCTTGTGTCACAATCCCCATCTCTCTATAACATATAGCATTTTAGAATCTCTTGTTTTCATAATTATGTACAAAGTGTTTCATCTTCTTAATTACATAATAAAATCATTAAAATCTGGAATCACTTCTTGTACTTTATTTTTAATTCCCAGATTGGAACACATAGTACAATCAAATAGTTTTTATTTTATGATTTAAAGGTGAAAATAATCCTCTACAAACATACATTTTAATTAAATCAAAACTGATGCTGGCGTTATGACTATCTCTAGGGAATGTTCTGGGTTTATTTTTTTCTGTTTGCTTGTTTTGTTTTTTCATTTAGGTAAAACAAACAGCTAATATTAGGAAATGTTCTTAGAATTTTATAAGAAAATAAAGTCAACATAAAGAAAGATATTGGAAAAACTAGAAATTCATAGTATGACCCATTTTCCGAAATGCAAGGCAAAAGCAGGACAAACTAGTCATAAAATTAAAGACTTCTGGAGTTTGGGGATATGTTACAATTTCCTATTAGTTTACAGTTATTAGAAACAAGTATTTTATTTAAGTCTAAGGGAAAAAATACTAGCTTCCATCTCCACTGTTTTCTACTTACACAACTATCCTGACATAATTAAAGATTCAAGTTCAAAGTGACCAGCTAGTCACTTCAAAATGCCTTTATCATGAGTGTCTTTGTGTCATTATCATGACATAGTTATCATGGTATAGTTTTTTTTTTTAATTTATTCATTTATTTTTTTTAATAGAGGCATGTTTTTATTTATTTATTTATTTGGTTTTTTTTGTTTGTTTGTTTGTACATGCACTGGGTACAGTCAGAAGCGCGGGAGGGTGAGAGAACTCACCAGAGCCAGAGCGGGGAGCAGAGCAGGCAGAAGGACCGAAGTACACTGCTGAGGGGAGCAGCGGGCGGCAGGAGACGTCTGCACGCCATGTGGGACCCTCCTCCCGTGGCCGGGGAGCAGCCGGGAATCGAACCGGCACCACAGAGGCCACGGGCAGCTTCGCAACCCAGCGCTCAACCACTGTGCCACCGGGGAGGCCCATCATGGTATAGTTTACAGATCTTGTTTGAACAGCTCTGAAATTGCTTATAGATTAATTTTTTTTAGAGTATTCTTATCATTTACTGCATCTGAACATATATTACTCTATAGAGTCCTACTGATACCACATTGTACCTTATTGTCCAGTATATTCTCCCTCTCTCCACTTAATCTTAGCCCTATAAATAAATATAAGGAAAATATCTGCCATATTTTCATTTTTCCTATGCTTTATGCAACTGTTTCTGTTCCTGTTGAGTCCTAGGTCAAGTTAGGGATGATTAGGCAGCTTCAGGGACAGTGTAGGACTTCAGGAGAGTTAAGGAAGTCTCCAGAGATAAGGGCAACAACTTCCAAAGGAGACTAATCAAACACCCCCAGATTTATGGGCAACAGGACATTTCAGACTAAGGATCATGAAGAAAAATATGCTAAGATAAGGGCGGGGCCACAGAGACTTAGTTCTGGGCACAGAGACATCAAGACAGTGAGTGACACCACCGAGAACTAACTGTTATAGGACAGGGAGAGGGGCAGCCCAAACCCCGCAAACCTGCCTATTCTACATGGGTTCGGCCATCCGCCGCATCAACACAAAACACATGAGACTAATGGGAAGGATCTTTAATAAAACTAGGAAACAATACAGGTAAGGCAAAGAGTCTAGTTTCTAAATGAAGCACCCAAAGTTACCCGTCCCCTCGTGGGTAAAAGTCCATCCATATGGGATCGGCCCAGAACAAGGCCCCAAAGCCTGCTACAAGTCTAAAGCATCTTCCAGTGGGGACACACAGAAAAGGGTCACAAACAACCGGACAAGCCCGGAAGGAAAAGAGCAAAATCAACATCAAGATAAAAGCTGCCATTGTCACCTCCCCACAGGTCTCACCCACATCTGTGTCACCCAGTCCACGACCAAAAGACAAGCGCAGTTTCTTTACGTGTCTCTAGGCTCCATGCGCCTCCTCCAGGTCTCCTGGCTCCATCCTGCTTCCTTCCTTCCTCAGTCTCTTCTGCAGCTTCTCTTCCTGCTCAGCTCCACCCTCCCTTGGGTGGGGCAGGGAACCTCCCCCTTTCCTGGGGACCACCTTGTTACATAACCAATCACAAAGAGACTGGTGGAGCTTTAGCATAATTAAGGAAAGGTGTACACTCCCTGAGGCACGGCTCCACATGGGCTTCCTTGACCCTCCTTTGCCTGGTTCCATGAGCCTGGAAGTCAGGTTGTAGGGTAAGGTAAAAAGTATCAGGCTTTTCTGCCCTCCCGCCATTAGGATAGATGACGGAACCCTGTGGTCCTGAATGCATGCCTGATGGCGGGCACCTGGAGTAGGGTGTGGGCATAGGTAGATGGATTCACCTGGGCTAAGACTGGGCTTTTAAGGGCGGCTTCATGGGGACGCCAGGAGGAGCAGAGAAGCTGAGAGAGAAGCAGAGCCGTGAAGCAGAAGCAGAGAGAACATGAGAGAAGGCCAGAGAGCCCAGAGTGAAGACTTACCGTGGGGCTGGGAACAGGCCTCCCTGCCCCAAAGCAACACTGCTTGCCGTGTACCTGGTAATCCCAATAATAGCCTGCAAAACCTCTGAGGGTTACAGGACGACTCCTTTACCCGGTCTGCTGGATCAGAAAACCTGCTCAGTGGCCTGTCCTGCCCCTACAATTGGCGTTAGTCGGCAGGATGATCATGCAGACAGGTATGGAGCCCTCCGAAGACCTGGAGGGACTGAGGAGTAGCAGACCAAAAGCCTGTGACAGTGCTGGAGGCGTCATGGCGGCACCGGAGATGGATGAGGTCCGGGAGCTACAGGATGAGACCTCGCTTGAAGGAGACGGCCCGAGAGGACCAGCCAAAGACCCCTGAGGCAGCAGAATCATCGGGGAAAGAAAGCACCATGGTTCGGAGCTCGCCAGTGCTGATGCAGGGAGAGGCCTGATGGACTTGGACTAATGGAGTTGGGCTGACAATCCCGCCAGAAGGTGGAGCACCTTGCAGGTTGATATGTTTTGGGAACCTGGGGGTGGAACAGTGTCATTTGTAAACCCCAGGAGATGGGAATCTGGGGGTGGCCAGTGGGCCTCAGTGACCAAAAGCAGCCTGTGTATGCCCAGCAGCCAGGCAGAGGAGAAAAGCCAACTGAGAAGGCAAAAACTGGTACTGATGCTAAGTTTGGGAAGCCCTGAGTGGCTGCTAAGCACTAAGTAAGCCGAGGAAGGCCAGTGAGTCTCATAAAATCACCTGTGGGTGATGATGCCCTGCTCATTCTCGAGTGAGGGTGAGGAGATGGGAAACCCATCCTTAGGGGGCCTGGGGTGGAGCCCAAGCCAAAGACGGGACCCAAGAGAGGCCACATGTGGAGTTTGGATCCCCGACCCAAGTGCTTGTGCAGTGGGCTGGCCTGAGTGCAGGGGTCTGCGTGTCGCATTGGTGGCTACGAAAGCTGAGTGTTGGAGCGACCGCAGACAGAAACCCTGAGGGTTGGCGATTACCCCCAACAGTATAGAATCTTGAATCCCAGAGTGAGAGCATCCTGGGGGTGGATGCTGTGTGTGACTTGTAGCTGAGACTACAGCCAGAGAAGGCCAGGAAGCCTGACGGCTCCCGGTGTGTTAAGGCAGATGCTATGAGTTGTTCCCCTTCCTTGTATGAGTAGTGCCTTCAGCAGCAGAAGTGGTGGATCATCTGCTGGTGCCAATAATTGTCTTTTGCTACTAGGTTGGGGCCCTGCCTGGACTTATTTGTATTCTGTTGTATTTTGTTGTTATATTGTGATGTATTTGCTTTTGTGGGCCATGGATGCATTGTTTGTTTGCTAAGAAACAAAATTGCATATATGTAGATTGTATGGCAGAAAACCCTGAGGGGGTGGACTGTAGGGTAAGGTAAAAAGTATCAGGCTTTTCTGCTCTCCCACCATTAGGATAGATGATGGAACCCTGTGGTCCCAAACACATGCCTGATGGCGGGCACCTGGAGTAGGGTGTGGGCTTAGGTAGATGGGATTCACCTGGGCTAAGACAGGGCTTTTAAGGGTGGCGTCACAGGGACACCAGGAGGAACAGAGAAGCTGAGAGAGCAGAGCCGTGAAGCAGAGAGAACGTGAGAGAAGGCGGGAGAGCCCAGAGTAAAGACTTACTGGGCAGCACCCCTGCCTGCATGTACCTGGTAATCCCAATAAAAGCCTGCAAAAGCCACTGAGGGTTCCAGGACTCCTCCTTTACCCGGTCTGCTGGATCAGAAAACCTGCTCAGTGGCCTGCCCCTACACGGGTCCATCCACTTTATTTCTGTTCCTTTTCTCAATAAACTTTTCTTTCTCAAAACAAATCTGCCTCTTTTTGCACGCTTGCCTGAGCATTAGCGAAGTTCCTGCTGGGGCTTCCTGAGACACCAACCCGTGGAGGTCTAGAGCCTGGGACTCAGCGCTGCCCCTGCAGCCTGGGAGCCATTCCTGGCTGGGAGACTAGGCCTGAAAACCTGAAATTATAGTATCTCTAACCCTCTACTCATATACATTTTTGAACATATAATTATAAAATATTCCTTTCTCTACATCCCAACATTTCCCTCTTAATACATCATCCTATGAGAATATAAGCACATTACTTCTTTTCAAAAGTATTTTTCTCTTGATTCCATTATCCCCAATATCTTCTAGCATGTTTCTCTGATACACTTCACAATAATATGTTTCAAAAAGTTATATAATAAGCCTATATATATATATATATAGACAAAGCATTAATATACATAATCATA